ATCTCTAGTTTGGTTAGATTAGCAATAGCTACAGATAGAAATATATAATTTTTGAATAGCTTAATCTCAAATAAACAGAGGCAGGATTGCCGAATTATAAAAAAAAAAAATTAAATTTTGTTTAATATTAAAGTTAGGGTTAAAACCTGAGATGAGGCACAGGCATAACTTATATTAAAATTTTGCAAAAAATTTTTTTGTTAGAGCCCCAAAGGTAGTTTTATAGATGAATTTTTGAGGTATACCTATTTTTAAAAAATAAACAATAATTTTGTATTATATTTGATCTTTATATTATACTGCAGCTTATAGCAAAAATTATAGTAGTGTTGAACACTAGTGATGTAATTTAACAATATCGTAGATTAAAACCTTTTCTTCATAATAATAAAAGGTCTAATCTTTATATCATTAAATTCTTCTAGATTGATTAAAATTTGACTAAATAACATAAAAATTACTATTCTTATTAGCCAGATTTCTATTGTTTACAATTCTAATTGGTCAAATCAATGTAAATCATATGATATCATATGATTTGCAATGTAATTACTATTAAAAATAATTTACATTCACTCTACTCTTAAATAAATGCTAAAAATCATCACATTTCTGTCTATAGAATTTATATATAGAACCACATTATATTACACTAATAATTCTTCAGTTTACTAGAAAATTATTAATTCATTATTATTATTAATATAATTACTTTTGTAAAAATAATACCATGTCTTTAAAAATAAACTATCATTTTTAATTAAAAAATTATATAAAATTTTTTAAAATAGCATATTTTGAAATATTAAAAGTTTAAAATATCTCAATAAATATTTCTCCAAATTGCATGAAACTTTTATGATATATGTATTTTGGTATTCTAAACAACTTCACTTAAAATTCAAATAATTCACTAATAAAATTTTAACTTCTATATGTAAAAACTGTATGCAGCTTATCTAACAGTTTAAGAAAAACAAAAAGAGTAGCTTCTGTAATAGCTTATTTTCAAATATATGATATTTTTTCAGAATATCTATTTCAATAAAAATAATTATGTTGCAAATAAAATAATACACGCTCATATATATTCGCGGGTATACATTTTTTAAGCCACAACCAAATGATACGTACAATATATTTATTGCATACGTCTTATTATTTACATTTATCTTGCTGCTTAATAAAAATTTTCATCGAAATAACACCCACCTGCGCGTTATTTTGAAATAAGGAAATAGTAAAAATTCCTTAATATAGCTTGTTTCATTCATGAACTTGATTAGTTTACTTTAAATATTTAGAACAATAAACGCAGAGACCCTTTGGTGCATCTACCCGACTAGCCGTTCTCGCAAACCAGGTACAATCACTAGCTATATTAGGATGTGCGTTAATTCGAGACCACGTATGCTATTTTTGATGAACAAATGACTGACGAGCTTTATTTCATGCTTGCACGGTATATCGTCTTGTCAAAAAAAAAAATCTTGATAATACATAATGTCTAAATAAACTGCTTTATTGTTACAAATAAATATAATGCCAGGTACTGTACATTCGTTATACACAAAGCATGAGTACGTGTCCTTATTAAATCGTTGCTGAATATGAAATAAATTTAAGCAAGGAATCTATTATCTTTCGGGTTAAAAGTATCTCGATCTTGCTCAGTCTAGTTCTATCATCCGATTGTTGTACAATGTATATATGGAAACCGTAATTATACTGGAGACATTAAAGAGATATTAAAGTGAAACAATTAAAAATAACTTATTATTTGTCCTTGTCATAAATGACTTTAAATTTTTTAGCTTCTAATAACTCTGACTTTTTTTTTAATTCAGCCATTGCACGAAATATTATATCAGTAATAATGATTCGTGTTGTAACTTCATCTGTCTTTCCTGCACGATAATTAATGAGAATATCTTTAAAATCTATTGGATCGCCGTATGCGATGACAACATTTTTACCAAATAATGGAATCCATGTGTGATCTCTTTCTCCAGGCATTACTGTTTCGAGCCCTGTATTGATCAATATTATAGAAATTTCGTTTTTATAAAATGAAAGATATAAGTAAATGAAAAAAATAAAAACCTCTGTGCCATATCGGTACGACAATCGGAGGATTTATTGATTCCATCATTAATCGTCCAATACCCCATTTAAAGCGAATCAAATCTGTTGTTCGATTGACTCTTGCCTCAGGAAAAATATGAACCTGAATAATATTAGGACAATTAAGAATTGCTACAGATATAAATAAACAACTCATAATACTTACCCACTTTCCTTCATTTAACCTATCTAGAGCAAAGTTCATGGCAGGCTGATAAATTCCGGCGCCACGAACGGTCGGTATAACCTGGCCTAGAGAAAAGAATCTTGAAAGTGCACTGAGTAAAATAAATAAAAACTAATATTAGTGCAATGCAAATAATATTAAATACATCAAGCTGACCGTACTTACGGAGTAGTAAAACATATTTCCTGAGCACCAAGCGTCCAACGGACTCTATGAAGGCTGAGAAAACACTTAAAAGGAATACTTCCCCAGAGTAGTGGATCATCAAGTCTGAAGTATTTGGTAAAGAAATTAAAACAAATAAAAATAATAATAAAATATTCATTACAACTTACGTTGATAAATGATTTGCAACTATAAAGGATTGACACGATTAACCATATTAATTCATTCAAATTTAGGAAAGCAATGAAAAATTTCTTACCTGTCAGAATTGGTCTTGTTCTCTTTGGATCCATCAAGATTTTTACGAAAGGTTCCTGATTATATACAGTATATGAACTGGTGCAGAATTTTAAGAAAAATTTACACACCAAAGCACTAGAAGTGATAGTACACCAACTGGCAAAATTCCATAATGGATTCGTTGCTGGTTTGAGAATCATCTTCCCATGATTAACACAATAAGGTAGAGGAACGTTTACCGACTTAATGGCTGGGTATTGTTCCTTCGTTTTAAAATTCTCAAACCTTTCCTCTTCCGTTCTTGGAGGCATGATATTAAATATTGTTACGTAATGTTTAGAAATTAACTATGTGGGGTTTGTTCTGCATTTATAATGCATGCGTGCATGATTACAAATATGCGACCTGCTGATCCTACTTATAAGTGATTGGTCAATTAAAAATTTTATATTAACGTTAACGGTTTAATGTTAGGGTTGTGGGCACCAGTGGCACCGACAGATTTTCACTGATCGACAGCGATTGACCAATTAGATTACAAGATCAGGCGTAACGTGAAATCAAAACAAAAAACAACAATTTTAAAAAAAACCGCCGTAACACAAAATTTTGTCTATGTAACCACCTTCTGCGCATTAATAAAAAAAATTCCTTGCAAAATTTTAGTATAAAACAAGCCTCATTATTATTGTAAACCTAACCTTAATGTATCGTTTTATGACTTTAAAAAAATTGTCGATCAGTGAAAATCTATCAGTGCTACTGGGGTAGTGGTGGGCACAGAAGCACAAGCAGTGTCTGAAATTGAAATTCAATTTTTAATTTAGTTCAGTCCGGGAATATTCCATATTTGGTTATTGCAGATCACACCTTATTTGGTAATGATCATCCACCGGGTTGTTCTAGATTTTTTTCCGGATTATTCTACATGCTTTAAGATTGGCCAATCAAAATTACTTCTTCTAAATTCAGTTTATAATTATATTTATAACAATGGCGGTTAAGAGAACCATCATTGTGAAATGATTTTTTATGTGCTGCATATCAAGCGCAGGATTAAGTTTAGATTGGATACGTTTCCTCCTGTTCACTTTACATAATTTTAAATACTTAAATATTCGGTAGAGCTTGGTCTTAGCTTACAAGAGCGCCACTTTCTGTCTATAGGTGTATACCTTCACTTCTTTTTAACTGTTTCGGGAAATTCACTTGAAGAAGTCCGACTTTATATAGATCTAGCCAACCTTTTCTATAACGAGTTGAAGATTCTGAAAGAAAAAAACTCGTTATAGAAAATTACTACGTTTTAAGAACCCATGGCATTTTTTATATGTGATTATTTGGAAATTTCAAAACGTTGAGTTCGTTATATCCGGAATTAGTTATAGGAAGATTCGTTGCATCTGTATACAGTTTAGGCCATGAAATTAAATATGTTTTAAGTTTTAATGTGCGCTACAGTATATTTAACTTGTTAAATAAAATTAAATTATGTCTTAAAATATTTATTGATATTGAACTTATATATATCAACTTTAAAAATTAATGAACTTGTTACAATCACAGAATTATAATGAAGATATATAATAAAATGATCGTATTACTTATTTGGGGCTATTTTTTTTGCGCACACTTAAAAAAATTATATATTTGCTGCAGCACACCAAAATTCATATGTAATGTGTAGCTCGCCCACGTTCTTAATGCTGAATTTTAGACATTGGTCAAAAATACAGCAGAGACAGTGCCCGATTCAAAGTAAATTCCTCTCGCCTGTGATCAATTACAAATTATATTGGATTCAATTGTGATGGATATAATTCCTCACCAGATTTAATATATGCATAATATTAACGGTGTATAATAAATGTTTTAAAAAAAATATCCGATTTTTATTGAATAAATTATTTTAATGTTTGTTACATATTATCTTTTTTAAAAAATAATTAAAAATTATTAAATTACTAATTGCATACTTATATAATATTTAATACTGTAATATAAAAGCGCAATGTCATATACCTTTCATTATTCTTGTGAAATCGTTTCTAAACTTTCCAAAAAATCTTCATTATCGATTTCATTATCTAAACTAAACAGAGATTTAATTTCTTGCAATATTTCAAGCAATTCTCTCTTTTTTTTTGATTTTAACCCGGAATATTTTTTTTGAACGTTTTCGCCAAACCGTTCAAGAAGGGTTTTGATTTTCACTAAAACCTCGGGTTTTGTCATGTTTTCTTCAGCTTCTTGAGCTCTAGCTTCCTTTTTTGTAATTGGTATCAGCCTAAATAAAAAAGAATCATTTTTGTCAATAAACGTTTCAATGATAAATTTTTGTCGAGCAACTTGTGCAAAATATGTAAAATTTTTCAAATTTTCATCCAACTCGCAATCTTTGCCTAGGCTTTGACAAGGTTTCAAGTTTGTTGGATTTACAAATTCAGAATTTTGCAGAAGCATTCGAAATCTTTGGCATTCCATGGTCGCTTCTGGCTAAGTCCTTGGTCCTAATGGTTGATAATCATTATATCCAATTACTTGAAATAGGTTATTTCTAAGCTAAAATAGTTGTTAATATAATTGTGATTATAATTAATCGATTTAAAATTAGTTTTACCTCTATAAAATTTTTGCAGTTACGAGCCGTGATTTTTCAATGATGAGGTTGTGGAACAGGAGATATTAATGACTTTAAAGCCTTGTTCATCTCCTTGATAACTGCATCAAGCTCCTGATGCTGTTCATAAATACCTGATCGAGAGACCACACAGTTTTTTTCAACAATCTCACGTATTTCAGGATGAAGTTGCATTAATTGAACTTCTTCAGCAACTTCAATTAGCCGATAGATGGGGTGACGTCTTGCAGACCAGATGGGAGAAAAAGCTCTTCTCACAGCCCTTTTTAAAAATGGATTATTAGTTCTTATCGCTTTTCGATAATTAATAATCGCCTGGAGATAGATAAATGTCTTAAGGTATTAATATAAAAAAAAAATTAAGATTAGTTTCCATCAAAATATATTAAATAATGCCATAATAAATAACTAACCTGCTCATATTTTATTTGATAAAGAGAATCTTGCTGTCCTTTAACCCAGGCAAGATATCCTTCAACGGATGATTCAGGATGATTTTTTACATATGGCCATAAAAGCTCCATCGCTATTGCTTGTTGATATATATTACAAGTGGAGTTCCAGGATTTATGATGATCAGCACATTTCTTAAAGTAGACGAGCTAATTTTCAGTTTGATACCCCTGGCATATCACAAATCGGTTTAGATCGATTTCCCTATATAAAATAAAAAAATCTTTATAAGTAAAAGAAATATAGAAGTTATAACGGTTTGAAAAAAGACGTAACCTAGAGATGGGTTTGGTTTATACATATATGCCTAAATTGGCTATCATAATAAAAAATTATTACGGCATTTAGTCAGCCAAAATTAGTCTTTCATAGTTGCCAAAATTATTTTTTATATTTGCCGAACTTATTGCCGAATTCTTTTCATCGAAATACATTATACAGCATAGTTATTTCAGAGGTTTCCTATAAAAAATGTATCAATGTAGAAATATTTGCCGAAAATACCTTTTCCGAAGTATTTAGG